TTTGATGAAAACTGGAGGCTCTTCTCACCCAGGGCTTCCTGACCCGGGGTCAAGAGTCACTGTCGTGGAAACATCTGGTTTCTCTACAGCTCAAACCTTTGCAATGGTAGCATGGAATATGGAGATCCTCTGGGAACAAGCCAACAGGGGCCTGCAGGGGCACTGATGCTCTCATTTCCCAGGACGGGATCAGAAGAGCTACAACTGGAAGAGGAGGCGTTGAAGGAGGATGGGGAGGAGGAGTAAGAAGAGGAAGGAGAGAGGAGGAAGATGGAGGGGAGGAGAGGCTGGAGATGTTGGGAGGAAGGGGAGAAGGAGGAAACAAAGAAGACGAGAAGGAGAAAGAGAGGGAGGAGGGGAAGGATGGAGGGGAGGAGAAGCTGGAGGTATTGGAGGAAGAGGAGGAGGAAGAGAAAGAGGAAGAGGAGGAGGCAGAGAGGAGGGGAAGTGTCAGCCCTGTTTTAGGTACAGTCTGCTCTCAAGAAGCCAGAAACCAAGCCTGGATAAGTCTGAGAACTCATTTGCTGACACACAGAGTGAGCAAACGTTGCTAGTGAGAACTTTTGAGTAGTACTTCTCACATTAGAACTGTGATAAGGCAGCAGTGTTTGTGGTAGAAGATTTTGGTGAAGAATGACTAGAGCAGTGGTTCTCTATGTGTACCATGTACAGGATCACCCAGATTCTGGTACAACACAGACTGTCAGGCTATAGTGGGTCTGGGGCTGGGCCTGAGAACCTGCATTCTGACAGGTTACCGTGAGAAGCTGGTGCTGTGGGTCTGACTTAGAAGTTTTGCATACTGCATAACTGCCGGAGGCTTGGTTAGGAGAGCTGCCTGCACTACTCAGAGAGGCATGCAATGAATTTCACCATTCATTCTTTGGACGCCGAACAAAAACCAGGCCCCACACAACTGAAGACCTTCTCATTAAAAATAGACTTCAGGCGTGTATCCAACCCAAGTGAGCACTTTGTTTCCTAAAGTTATTTTTGCTTCTTGCAAATTATTTTTTAAAGGACAAAAAAATGCAAAGGCAATTTTTTAAAGTGCTACCTTGGTCTTTGAAGTGTTAAGACTGACGTTTATTTGAGAAAAGTCATGTCAAATGCAAAGTAAAACAAATCAAACTAAGTCAAAGACATAAACAACGTCAACATAACTCACAAATGGAGGAACAGAGGAAATCAAAATAAAACACGGTAACCCAACATCCAGCCGATCCCACGGAATCCATCTCCAGGCACAAAAATGCTACTCATCAAAACCCCTTCAAGCTGACACTGGCTAGGATTAGTGCCGTCACTCATTTTTGTTGGAGAGCTTCGTTCTTTCCTTTCACCTCTGAGGCCCCTCTGAAGCGTTCTAGGGAAGAAAGGGGCCCCGAGGAACAAGCCCCAGTGTGGCGGAAAGGCAGACACTACTCTGCGAGGAGCAGACTGACCGCGTCAGTGCTGAAGTGACTCTCAGCTCAGTCCCGTCACCACACATAACGCCCTGGCTATTTATGGCACAGCTGGCCAGGCAGAAAGGCCCCACCTGCAGAAACAGTACATAATTCAAGTCTAGTCTGAAGGGCAAAAGTCAACTTTCAATGTTTAAATAATAATAAAATTTAAACTCACCTACAGGAGATTTTAGAAACATTCCCCACAAACCACAATATTTGTGAAGTCCTTTTCTGACTTTAGTGGAGGAACAAAATGGTGGGTCCTTCAGTCATGACCCCCTTCTTCCTCCTCCTCTTGGCGAGCCCCCCCCCCAAACTTTAAGGAAGAAGTATGTTACACCAATAAGTGTGGAAAAAACAGGAAGACAGGATGACTCAGGATATGTTGGCAACTGAAGGCGGAAAAGATAAGGCTACTTAAGATTGATGTAATAAACTAGGCCCTAACACGTATTAAGAGTTATGATGTGCCAGGCACTGTACTAAGTGTCCTGTTCGCATTATCTCATGAAACACAGCGTCCCTTTCATGGAGTCCTACAAATGTCCTTACTTTATGGTGACGTCAGGGAGGGGAGGAAATAGGATGTTCTTTTTTGTGTTTTTTTTGTTAATCCTCACCTAAGGATATATTTTTCCATTGCATTTCAGAGAGAATGGAAGGGAGGGAGAGAGAGAGAAGGCGAGGGAGAAGAGAGATCGATGTGAGAGAGACACATCGATCGACTGGTTGCCTCCCGCACTCGTCCCTACCGGGGAGGGAACCTGCAGGTATGTGCCCTTGACTGGGAATTGACCCCATGACCCTCCGGTGCACAGGCCAACGCTCTAATCACTGCCCCACACTGGCCAAGATGGAAATATGTTCTTGACAGCATCCAACCAGAGAACTTAACATTAACTCTCCCACTGAGAATATTGTTTGTGCTTTCAATTGGATAATGATCTTCAAGATACTTGTACAGATTTTTAAAATATTCTTAATTAAAGAGGAAACCACCTTCTTCATACCTCCTCTTTATTAAATATACAAATTTCAAAATATACTGGAAGCCATTTTTTTCTTCAGAGAGGAAGGGAGAGGGAGAGAGAGATAGAAACATCCATGATGAGAGAGAATCATTGATCGGCTGCCTCTTGCATACACCCCAGCTGGGGATCAAGCCTGCAATTTCCTTGACTAGAATTGAACCCAGGACCCTTCAGTCTGCAGGCCGATGCTCTATCCACTAACCAGCTAGGGCTGGAAGCCATTTTTAATGAGAGTGCTGAGAAGGGAAAGAATGTATTAAGGCTGATGTACTTTGATTGTCCTTAACGGTGACAGTGGGTACCAGGTACTATGCGCTAGGTATCTTCCCCAGGCCAGTTACGAATGTCAGAAGTCGAGTGTTTGATTTTTTAATTTAAATTTGACTTTTCTATACTTAGTTTAGGAATGTCATAATCAAGAGCCCATGGCTCGGGACTAGACTGTCTGCTTCAAATTTTGGTTCTGCATCTCACTAGTTATATGACCTTGAGTACCCAGTATTGCTGGGCCTCGGTTTCCCATCTGTACAGTGAAGCCAGCAAAGCAATATTACCAATTTTCTAAAGGAGTTTGGACGACTAGCAAGATGAATTCATGTAAAAGTAAGCTCAATATAAGTTAGCATCTATAGTATTTATTTCTCACAACCTCTCTATGAAGTATTTATGTAATCCTTAGTGTCTCATCCATTACGTGGTTTAATTTTCTCTAGAATTATTTACTCTCCTGGTAAGATGATTCTTTTAGCAAAGTTGCAGTAAAGGTGTAGCAGAAGATGAGGAAAAGAAAAAGAAGAGATGGGAAAAATATACAAAGTATAAAAGAGTCAAATTTAAATTTAAAAAATATCACACAGTTGACTTCTTCTGACATTTGGAAGAACTGGGGAACAAGAAGAAGAGAGAGTGGAAAAATAAAACAGGGAAAAAAAATTGTCCTTATTTGAACCTATTCCCATTTCCAGGACTGGGCACTACAAAGACATCCCAGCCTTCATGTGACTCAGTCTTCAGTCACTAGGCCACAGGTGTCCGGCTGTTGACAGTTGCCTAGCTTTTGGTTCAGCTACTTGAGCTCTAAGAGCCTAAACAAAGTTAAGAACGAGGACTCAGGAGCAAGAAGATGGACAAAGAATCCCTCTGCCACGGTTCACCCTCAAACCGGGCTCCAGGCCTGCCCAGCCCTGTTTTTTCTCTGCCTTGGATTCCCTTTTATAGATCAGGAAAACTGTCTGCCAAACACACTCCATAGTCCATGAGTTACAAAACCCAAAGGGCCATCAGGCCGCTGTTATCTGAGGCTAGGGTTTCATCTCTCCAACCGCATGACCTTCAGCTTTGGGCTTCTCGGTAACTTAAAGCAGCTGTGGGGCCTCCGGCCAGGCTGCCACCCGGAGCCTGAAGTCCTGATCACAAGTGTTCAGACCTTAACGATCAATGTTTCCAATGCTGTGGAGATGCCAAAGTAGCCATATAATGCTAAGGGATCATTCAGAAAGTGTTTTATTAACGGTACAGACATGCACAACCTGTAATTACGATGGCTATTTAAATCTGAGTAAAACTACTGTAAGAAAGCCTAAGTTGAGAAATTTATAAGGGTTTCCCCCCATTTTGGAAGAGGGCATTTTTCTACTGTAATCTGATGTGCTGTTTCAAGAAATTGTACCTTCTGATCAGAGAGGAAGACTTTAGTCAGATATGGCCAATAACTGAATCTTACCTATCTGCTGACTCCCGTCTCCCCACACAATGGCGTATTCAGGATCTGGCTGTAGGAGGGCATCTCACAGAGAAACAGGAGGCACCCTCTCTACTCACACAGGTAGGAAATACTGACCTAGAATGCTACCAGTTCACCCACATTGAAATGTGGGCAAATGAGAATAATGGACATACATTTTTTTACCCCTTGAAAATGGAAAAGAACAGGACTTTTAACCCGGCTCTCCCAAACTTCAAACCCTTGTAAAGAAGAACAAAAGCCATCAGAATCAGAAGAAAAGGAGTAATTTTGAAAAGAAAATCACCATTGACTTTAGTATCCAAAAAACAACAGTGTAGCCCCTAGTTGCTGGACTCATTGGTCCGACAGTTTCCAGCAAGTTTGATATTTGTGCTCTCGACCACACTGGCACGTCCCCTGGCACGTCACCAATGTGGGGGCACACTCACATGTGCTCCTACCCCTCCCCAGCTCAGGGAGGTGTGAGGAGTTACTAGTAGATCCCGTTCTGAGACTCAGAAGGTACAAGAGGCCACTAAGGCAACAGAGCTGGGTAAATGGCAGAATGGGAATTGCAATTTTCTTTTTTTAAACTTGAAAGTCTGTTCCGTTGTATTTCACTTATCTCTTGAGTATTTAAGACTAGCAAATGCATTTGCTGCTCTTTTTATGGTTCCATAATGACCACGAGTGCTGCTTTCCACTGTCACCCACGTTCGTGCCAGCACCCAGCACACCAACTGTCAGATGGTAACGCCCTGCCTGCTGGATGTAAGCCAATGGAATTCTTACCTGGTGCTCCCGTGTACATGATGGAAAACACATTTATTGCTATCGTAGCAGCATAGAACACCGGCAGGGCCCGGAGGCCATTGGGAACAGGGTCCTCCTGCGTGATAATGAGACAAAGTGAAAGGTCAGGACTCAAGAAGCATCTGGAGCCAACACAGGCAACAGGATCTAACACACTGTTACGCGAAAATCCTCCCAAACTCTGCGTGACCAAACTGCTGGCATGGCACGGCCGGTGACCTGCTTCACAGGACAGCAGTGGCTTGGGCCTCTCTCCCACACAAATGCTGTTTCAAAGAGCCCACAACTGTGTCCAGCAGACACTTTAGAGCACTAGGGTCACATAAGCTAGGACGTCAGATTTAGAAACAGAGAAACACAGTCAGGTTAGGTCCGTTCCTGGGGACCGAAGCGCAGAGATTGGCATCTACTTCAAAACCTGTGACACTCACTACTCTAAGTAAGTTCAGTTTGGTGCTATAAAAACCTACTTTCAACAAATACTCTGACGCTCAGCTCCTTGAGGATATCTGACAAGAGCCAAGTGACTTGAATGCCACGGCATTGCTATAGATTTTACGTCACTCTATTACACAATGCATTTCAGCTCTATCTAAATGTATAAAGCAAACACATTACCATGTGCTGTGATTTTTTAAAAACTTCTCATAAGGTACAGTATTTATGCTTCAATTGTTAAAAGTTAAAAAACTGGCCCTAGCCGGTTTGGCTCAGTGGCTAGACCAGCGGCCTGCAGACTAAAAGGTCCCAGGTTCGATTCTGGTCAAGGGTACATGCCGGGGTTATGGGCTCGATTTCCAGGTGGGAGGCATGCAAGAGGTAGCCAATCAGTGATTCTCTCTGATCATTGATGTTTTCATCTCTCTCTCCCTCGCCCTTCCTCTCTGAAATCAATAATAATATATTAAAACAAACAAACTGTGGGTTCTTTATCTAATAAAACATGTATTTACAATGTTAGGGTTCTGGTACAACATTCCCTAAATCTATTACTTCAACAAGAAAGGTACAGCACATGTCTTAGGCTAAATAACATCTCAGAGAATATTAGAAATTTAGAGTTTTAAGCAAATATACAGAGGATTTTGGAACAAAAATGAGGACTGAGAACTCCTTAATATAACACTGGCACATAGACGTTGCCTAAATAATTAAAAAAATGACTGATTTCTAATAACCATGTAACATATTCGTACATTTATATGAATCTGCTACCCTCCGACGATAAAAGGAAGATACGATCTAAACATTGATGTGAGCTACAGGATGAGGAGAAGTAGAGACCATCTCAAAGATTTCTACTGTCAAATGCAAACGCGTATGGGGATCAGATAGGTTTGCAGAACAGTACACCTCATCAAGAACCTATTCTGGAATATCCCAAGCAGCCACCAGCATTTGTCAAGAGGCTTGAGTTGATAGCACTGAGGTGTAAGGAACAGTAAGAGCGGAGATAGGAGGTGATTCAACTGCCTGAGAGTCACAGGCAGATCAGGCGGATCAGGTAAAGAACAGCAAATATGAAGAACCAATGGCAGGAGTTGGGACGAGAGGCACAGCAGTCCTCTCATCTTAAAGGAGCCGTGGCTGGACTGAAAACCAACACTGGGATGCTCAAACACGGCTGCCTCGGATTCCCAAAATGCTGTTTTCCTGGGGATGAGGGCTGCTAAAGAAAGACGCCCAGCCAGTAACTTCTGAAGGTGTGTACATCCTGAGTTCATGGTTTTAATTAAATCACATGTGTTTTCTCAAATAATCTATTCTTATAACTCACATGACAATTGTCTCATTGCAACCTGTCTCCTTTCCTCCTCCCTCCCTCTCTCCTTCCTCTCTTCCTTCTTCCCACCCATTCATCTGCTGCCACCCACCCAAACTAAGTGAAAGAGACAGTTATGTTTCTACTCTCACAGAAATTACAGTAAAATAGCAAACAGACCACTAAGCAAGAAAAAAAAACACCGTACACCATGAGAGTGCAATGATGAGCAGGCGCACAGTGCTGTGGACATTCAAGAGAGGAACCAAGCAGAACGTGGGGTGGGAGAGGGAAGGCTTCCTGGGAAGTGACACCTGGAGGTTGAGTAGGAGCAGGAGTTTGCCAGGAAGGGATGGGTTCCAGGCAGAGGACATACAAAGGGTGAAGGCTAGCAGGCAGGAGGGGTGGCACCTTCCAAGATGTAAACCAATATTAGTGTGGCGGGCACCCAGGAGAAGGAATGGTAAGTTTGCATTTATCCAAGAGAATGAGCCCTTCAGCGGACTACCAGACAATACCAAGGCAACACAGTGCATCTTTAAGCAAGAGCACAGCTGAAGGAAGGTATGATCCCGAGGTGCCCGGCCTGTGTGTAACCCAATGATCCAGGCCTGCCTTAGGGCTGATCAAACACCGCACCAACCTCTTGACAGTCAGATAAAAAATGCAATCAATTTTTTTCTAGAATGCTAATCTCAGTAAGTTTTAATTTTAATCTCATTTTATTTTCGATAAACTACACTCCCAATAGGTGTATTTCCTTCTATTTATCCTTTTGAGGAGAGGAAAAAGTCAGTGTCTCAAGCTTGCTTTCTTCATTAAAACAAAGAGAAAGAAAGAAAACACCTTACATTTGGGAAAAGGAACTCTCCAGCTGTTTTTAGTAATAGTCAATTCAAAATCCAACACTATGTCACTCTATTCTGCTTCGCATTCAGGAAATGATTACCTTTCCTTTTTGAGGTCCAAGCACAATGCCTGGGACTGTCAACTCATGAACGCAATCACAGGGCGAGAAACAGTATTTGCAATGCTGGGTTCAGTGGTCCCCCGGGTACTCTACCTTGAATCTTTCCTCCTATTTTATAGTAAAGTCTGATTCTAACTCCTGGGTGCAGTGCCTTAAAAATGTAAATATACAAGTATTCCTCTGCCCCCTCTCACAATTAATTTCTATTGAGTAGAGCCAAAATTAGTGCTCAAACTTAATTTTTAAAAAACAGCCTCACTTACCTTTTTTAAGATGAAAATTCTGATCAGTACAAACAGCACGCCAGACATGAAACCAGACAATAGTGGAGATATAAACCAAGAAGCAACTGAATAATTAAAAAAAAAAGTATAATGAATGCTGAAATTCTACGTAATTCAAGTCATATTTACATAATACAATTATAACAAATATACAGTATATACATTCATAAATATTCCTGGAATCACTCATCTTAATTCAACCCTAAGAAGCCCACTGTCCTGGTGGAGCTGACATGCACCCATGCACAGCTCCGCACAGACACAGGCACGGTCCCACAAAACCCAGCACATAATCCAGCAGGTGACCCCGCGAGCCCCTTCTGCCTGCTGTTCTCATCAATCCACATGGAGACCTGGTCCTTGTTCCAACATAAAGGTGCTCTGAAAGGTGGGCCACCTTCCATTTCACTTTCCACCTCCAGCCTGAGACTGTCATCCTGACACGGCCTCTGGCCTAGTAGTTCCCAACTCTGGCTGCACATAAGAAACATCTGGGGAGTTTTCAAAACTAGCTATGCTCTGGCTCCACCCCTAGAATTCTGATTTAAAACGTTTGGAATGGGGCCTGGGCACTGATATTTTAAAATTGCTCCCCCAGGTAATTCTAATGTGCAGACAGAGTTGAGAACCATGGTTCTAGAAGCCTGGGATCTAAACTGATTTTCCGGGCCATCTGAGTCGCTGCTTGGAACTCAACCTAGAGCTCCTGAGATCACTGTGATTCTTAAAAGGACAAGCAACCCAGAGGATGGAGATGGGGAGAGAGCATTTCTTACAATAGGCAGGTTGGTGCTTATGGGGCTGAATGGATTTCCTCTTACAAAGAGCCAGGGCCAGGAAGCAAGCTGCCAGACCTCTTAAAACAGACCTGCTGAGCAGCCTACAGCCCGGAAGGAACACTAGAGCGCCTCCTCTATACAGGCAGACTGGGCGATTTCTTGACTGTAGTGAGGTCAATAACACTGGGCTCATTTCAAGGCTTCCCCATAACCATGAACTCCGACTCCTAGACACTAAGGGTACTTTCCTCATTAGGACCTAATTTTTCTTTGACTACAGACTGATTTCAATGAGATAAATTTCTTTTCTGTTTGGGAACAATAGATAAATGTTGATTTTTCAAAGCTGATGACAATGGAACATTTCAAGGAGTGTTTGGAGGCAAAAAAAAAAAATTCTCTAACACATAACAGTTCACAATACAGAAATTTTAAGGAAAACTATATTACCCATATAGGTCTTCTAAACCTTAACATTTGAAGGAAAAATATATTATAATTGCAACTTTTAATAAAACTTACGCTAGAGAATGTAAACTTTCCTTCTTATAGGTAAAAGAAAATGGCAATTACCAATCTTGACCAGCTCCATCCACTGCACACCTTTGGTGCCAATTGCAACAAGTGAGAATCCTATAGTTGCACCAACAATGCAATGAGTTCCTGAGATGGGAAGTCTCAGGAAGGATGCAATCAGCTGCCAAACAGCTGAACCTAGAAGTGGAAAGATTAAAAAAAAGAAAAAAGTCAGGTATAAGGTATAGCAAGCATGTCAAACTCATGGCCCTCGGGCTGCAGGCAGCCCACAGTGAATATTTTTGCGGCCCAGCAATATAATGGTATGTAAGGAAACATTAATTTTATCATCGCTCTTGTTCTATTTTATACTATACTTTTCTAAATAAACCCATGTTTCTATGAAAATTGGAGATTTTACTTTTTTTGTGGCCCATGTAAACTTAAACCTTGTTTATTTGGCCCGTGTTAGCCTTTGAGTTTGACATGCTTGAGTTCAGCATCTCCAACAGCCACAAAAGGAAGAAATACAAATTACTGTTCTCCACAGCAACACCCATGGGGTTCATTTTCTGTGGGTGGTTCCTTTACAAAGCGCTAATATCCCAACAAAATTACTCAATTAACTTGAGTCCAAGAAAAAGTCTTCAACACTGAAGGGAAATGTTCATTTATTTAAAGAAAAGTCTCTCGATGCCGGTTACTAACTGCCCTTGTCACATTTAGGTAAGGGAGCTGATAATGAACTTGCTCTGATGTGAAGTGTGGCCAAGACCAAGCAAGAGATTGAGGACTTGAATAAACAGAGAAACCAGAAAGGTTGCACATGGGAAAAGACTTCACCATAGTTAGGCCTTATAGTCACATAATGAGGAGGGCTAAATATCAGCTGTTGAATTAGTCTGTACACGAGAGCGTGTACCATCACGTTGCTTTTTTATTCTTGCCTCTCATGTGAGAAGGAACTATGATATTTAACCAAAAGTTGGGCCTCTGCTTTCAGCCCCTGCTGGAACGATGGGGCTTTGCCTTACACGTTCTCACGTCTTCTACTTCTTGGGAGTTAAGAGGAGCCCTTCGTTGTGGCTTTATGTCCTTTTACCTCAATTTCACCACTCTTTTTCAGGCTTAATGCTTTTCTAGGCTATAGTTCAGATATTTTCATAAGCAGATCAGATTTTGCAGTGAGTATTAACAGCATCAGCTGGGAGGGATCACTCTCAACACAATTGTTGAAAAGTTCATATAGAGCTGATGGGGACAAGGGTTTGGCGGATAAGCAGGCCCGTTATTAATCCCAAATGTTAATTCTGGAAATCTGGTTGCTTGGCAGCAGCAGCACTTTCAAGCAGATCCTTGGCATTTTCTTCAAAAATATCTGAGTTAACAAGGATCGTTAAAGGCTGTGCAGGTTCGTTTGTGAAGCAAGGCTGACAGCTGCTCCACGAGTGCTGGGCATGCTGACCTTTGAGCTGCCCTGGGCTGCGGCCCTGTGCCGAGGCCCTGTGCCTGTCCCTGAAGCGTGTGCTGGAAGGAGAAGGGGCCAGCCTGTGCTGCCTATCCGGTAACAAGGCTCCCTGGCTGCACCCAGGCTTCCCGGCGGATAATTCCTTAAGCCTTCGCAGCTAAGCCCTGAGTTCTGCACGGACTACATAGTTGTTTTAAAAATACAGCCAGAGTTTGCAGCATGTTTCATGGCATAGAACCAGAACTTAAAAAACAAACTTTATGATTTCTTTACCAAAATTAAAATGATCTAGTGATGTTAAGAGCATGGTATAAAGTCACCCACAAGATGGAGACCATGTGATTTTTTTCCTTCCTGAAAGCTGCTGTCCTTTCTCTGGCTAACTTTATAATGTATATCCTGGAGCAGGAGGGTGTGTGAGGAAAGGTAGGGAGAATGAGCTGCCTGAGAAGGAAGAAGGAAAGACTTAGGAGGCCAGTGGGAAGAGTGAAGGAAGTGAAGGAGCAGCTGAGAGGAGGGAAAAAGGAGGCAGGTGTTTGCAGGGACCTCGCAAAGTGAGAGAGGGTGAGAGACCTCCCTAACCACAGGAATTTCTGAAGGCATGTAGGATTACATTCATGTTAAGAAAAACAGTGAGAAAGAGAAATATGTTTTAACCTATATGTTAGCCTACAAAAAGGAAAGGGATTAAGTACAGGATGCAGGCATAAGACAAAGCCTAGCAAATGTTGGGGGGCGGGGGGCAAATGGGCATCGCTGAGGCAATAGAAGGGCAGAGCCAAGGTTCATGGTTACCATCGAGGCAAACAGGCAGGCAGGCATGAGTGAGTGCAGGCAGGGGGAAGGCTCAGTGGTTATGGGCAGGGAGGGAGTCTTATGGGGAGTGTGCACTTCTTAGTGTGGTTCAAGGAGATGGCTTCTTCATGTGGGTGTGGGTATTTCTATGGCAAGGTGGTGGGTTTTGGATTCTCAGTAGATTTTTGGAACCATTGATGGTTTCATATTAAGTGGATTGACTACTGCTTTAGTGCTGAGCTAGAGTCCCAAAAGATAACTTGGTTCAAGAAGTTTAGCTAGCACTAACAATTTCTTCCACCCAACCAACACCACCACCACGACTCTATTGGAAAGCACAGAGATCCATGGGCTTGGGGAGAAATTTCTAAAAGAGCGAAGAAAACAAATAGAACAGAATAAAAGGACAGGGGAAGAGAGGGAGAGAAGAGATGGATGGAGAATTTAGAAGAGGAAGATTGAGATAATCAGGCATCTGAAGAGAATCAGCTTTGATTTTGGTCAATAATAATTATACCATCATCTTAAATTTACATAGCTCCCATTTGTAAGGAAACCAATTTTGAAAATCTATATAAATTCCCAACAAAATGGACTTTGAGATTCATGTAACCATACAAAGGAGAAGGAGGAGGGGGAGGGG